ATAATAACAGATGCAATTGGCACACACACGACAGGAAGAACTTTCAACCAATTTAGGGAAGAGCTGTCGGTAGCTACAGGACACGGGTTTGAGAAACTCTCAAAAAGCCACCCTTGCCCCCAGGATCTTTCTGGGATACACGTTCTGGGGTTGCTTTGGAGGTTTTGAAAATGCAATGTACATCTAAGGGCTAAGCGGAGGCTTTGCACATGCTAGATGCTCAGTTAAGAACCACCAGGCAGAAAAAAGAAGAGTGAATCAGACAGCAGAAATGAGAACAGGGAGGCATTTCTATAGTCAATGTCATCTTATAGAAAATTACTCATTGAAAATACATGAAAGGAAAACTCTTCTAATATCGAAATGCCTTGCTTTCCCGTCCCCTCCTGTAGCTAAAATGCCCTTAGACTGTGACAAAGCTTATCTTTCCCTCCCTCCACACCCCAGTTTTAGGGAGGGATCACGGGAGCAATAATTGACAGTAGAAGCACTGCAGAGGGGGAGGGAAAATATATGACACTCAATAAGGAAAGGAACATGGAGAAAGGAAGCTGAGTGAGGGGTGGGCAACTTGATAAAGCCCACTGCAGGGCTTCACAGCAGAGGTCAGTGAGGACGGTGCAATAGCGCTAGCTACATCCGCTCTGCACACACCAAGGCATTATGTGGGAAGTCTTTACACTGGAGCCCAGTTACACCTAATGGAATAGTGTATCTGTCTTCAAGCACAAAAAGACAGGCAAATGAATAAGGTTTTTTTTTTTTTTTTTTTTTTTTGGTTGTATGCTGCAGGCATGTGTAGGTTGGTCACCCAGGACCAGAGCAATGGCTCAAAGAATTTTCCTCGTCCCAGTGCCTTTCCAACTTCTTGCCTTGCCAACCTTGATGGATGGCATTTACGCTCCAGATGGGTGCTCCTCCTGCAGGCAGTCACGTACACACCCAGAGAGAAGAAAAGCAAACGAGGCAGACAGGAAATTTGATTTTACATAGGAAAGAAAAAATGCCGTCTAACAACTCTCAGCTCTCTTCTTAGTGGCCCGAATTGTGTGCTGTGGCCACCACCTCTAACCGCAAGGGATAGTGGAGAAGAGCTAGTTAGTACATGCATGGAGACTCCATCCTCCATGGTTGCTAATGTAGCCTCAATCAAATCCACCTTGCTCTCTGTGTCTGCAGTGCCCAGCATGACAGCCAAAAGTCACGTGTAGATAGTCATACTTAAAATGTATTAAAAAGTCACTTTTTTTTCAGTAGTACTAGTGCCACGTGACCAGTGGTAATCATTTGGGGGCAGTGCTGACACAGAACACTCCCATCATCACAAAAAGTCCTCTTGGACAGATGAATGTGAGGAGTCAGAAAGTCTTGCAAAAGAGTTGGCAGAAGTACGAAACAGACTCCATAAAAGACAGCTGACATCCTTGGCTATGATTAGAACTTAGTGTTGATGGCGTGGGCGGGGGTGAGGCCCAGGAGCCTGGATGGGGACCAAACTCCAGAATGTTTCTGAGGAGTTGGTGGCAGAAGCACAGAGCCAGTACAGCATATGTACAAAACTGTCCCGGTCTGTGGCCTCCTCCAAAAATACCCGAGCTCGCCCTCTAGGATCAGAAAATGGACTCAGCTGTAGTCCCTTTGCTTGCGTTGTTGACTGAGCGCAGCTCCCCTCTCTCAGATGATCATGCAGAATACATTCCGAATTCAATTTTCTCTCCAGCGAGCTCAGCCCGGTCGTCAGGAGCCCACAGAAGTTAAGGGGTGGAGACACGACATAATTCCCAAGAATTTAGCAGCATTATTTGCCTAAGCATTAGGGGGAATTATTCAGCTAAGTCCCCACAACTTGACAGCAGGTGTACCTCTGAGAGCGCACCTCCCCTCAGCCTCATTACTTTGTACTGTGTCTCGTGCTGGAATCACACAAGATGCTCATCTGTCCAGAGGCTGCTGACGAGACGCTGAATGACTTGAATTTCACCTTGGCTTTGAACTTGGTTTTTCTCTTTCTGCTTTTCCCAGCCCCGTGCACAATTGGATCACACGGTAATTTATTACACTCTGGGCTGAAACAACGCTACAAAAGACACGTTCCATTCGTTCTCCCCTCCTGGTTCTTTACAAACAGGCAGCCCACCGCGTAGCTGTGAATGGGGGACACCGGCTCTGCCTGGGGAGAAGCTGTCCTGAGGGCTGCTTCGTGTGGTTCCACCGCCCGACGTTTTCGCTTCCAGCTCTGGTTGAAACTAGTTACACATATTGCTTCCCTTCTCATTTATCTTCACGTCCAGAAAACAGAAAGTGGATCTTCGGCGGCTCCACGGCCGTCACGGCAACACCAGTCATTAAATGACACAGAGTGCGTGGTAGCCACGCAGGAAGTGGATGCCGAACCGTGGACAGAGCCCACTGCCTCCGCGGGATGCTTTTAAAAACCCTCTTGTGCAGCGGCCCGCGTTGGCTCGCGGTCGGTCATAAATAAGGATGATGAGTGGCCTTAACTCGTGCTTTCCAGAACAGGGGTGCGTCGTCTTCTCTCATTTTGTAAAATGGCTTCCTGACAGAGTGGAATGTCCATGTCACCCTCACAGAAATATGGATTGGCCTTCAATGAAATATTAATGATGATCAACTCTCTCAGCTTTTCCTTTGTGAGGGCAGAAATAAAAAAGGAGCTGGATTTCTTGATAATGGGTTAAAACATTATTGCTCCAGGATCAATGTGCTGCCGCTTGGTCCTTCTTTCATCCTTATAGTTTTAACTTCTCCCTCGCCCTCATCCTTTTCCTACTTGCCCTCTTTTTAGAATGCCATGATTTTGAGGAGCACGGTGTGTGATTCTAGAATGGAACAGAAATAAGTCTTGTTTTCATCCCATGCTGATGTTCTTATAATAACCTTGGGAGAGCTACTTGTCTGTAACATGGACCCATTTGTAAAATGGGAATAATGAGTATAATAATAATGGTCATGATAATATCCCCCTTCCAGGTTTATGGTGAGAATGAATGAAAACCGTAAAGTCTGGCACATGGTTAGACCTCAAGATAATTAACTCATGATGAAAGCCTATGAATATTTCAAAACATGTTGTACACAATAAATATATACTATTGTTAAGATGTCAATGTAAAAAGCTCGTGTTATTTGGTGGTGTTGGGCAGAGGGAATAGGCAGGAGGTGACCTCCGAATCTGTCCAGCTGCCCAGGTAGCCCCCACCCAGGTTAGCTGCCCCCGTGAGAGACAGGGTGGAGGAGCCTGTCACAGGTGCAGCTGTCAAGGGATTTGGGGATTGTCTGTGGGTTTCTGGTTCTTGCCCTCTTCTGCCTCCTGATATCATTTGCGTTGGTTGTGCTGACTCTGGACATGTTCTGGAATCTTCTTCCCCCTCTTGTTGATGCCACCAGGATTACCAGGGGCAGCCAGAGGTGCTTCTGGGTTCTGGAATGAATGCGAGTTGGTTCTGGAAGGGGCTCAGACTGTAGTTCCCCGCTCTGGGCAATAGCACCTACAACCACCAGTGACATTGGCCTCCCTGGGGCGCTCCCCGCCCCCTACCCCCTCCTTAGGCTGCGGGCATCCTTCTCTGGACAGGGAGGGGGCTGAGGTGAGATGGAGCGATAAGCAGGAAGTGCAGTGGAATTTCATTCCTGGAAAAAAAAAAAAAAAGGGACCTTGGCATGAGTTGCAGAATGGAGGGTTCAGGATGTTAATCACTGCTCCTTTTATCAGACAGCTTTATTAAGATCAATGTTTTTTGTTGCCAAATTAGAGTGGACCTAGAGCGAACTTCCCAGCAGTTATTAACACAAGTCCACATTTGCTGGAAGGATTGGGTACCTCCACGTGCTCAGCCATAGCTGGAAGTTACACAATATCTATATCATTTTTCACAGCTTTGTCATTAGCTGGTAATGATTTGATTATTTTGCAGATGAATCACAGTATAAATCTCTTTCACAAACACTACCTCCAAGTATTAATCAAAACCATTAAGGCAAAGCAGTCGGTGCAAATTAAAAAATTTGCATGTCTAAATTAAAAATTACAGTAATACATCATAAATAAATCTTTTAAATTCTCTATGGCCTCTATGCACATCCTTTCTTTGGTGTGTATATTCTATAAAAAGACCGTGAACACCAAGCATTTTTTCCATATATATGTATATGTATGTTCTTGTGAGGATTATTTCATTTTAAAGGTAGCATTCAGGTCCTTAGGTGGAACCTGGTGTTTGAACATAAAAGGAAGAGGGGATTTTTCTCTTCCTTTCCTCATTTATTTCTTTTTTTCCCCAATGGAAGATTCAAAGACAAAGACGGTACAAAAAGGAAGAGGAGAGGAGCTCTTGCAGATAATTTGCCGTGTCTCCTTGTTGCAAAGTAAATATTTGCAAAAGGTGATGCTTCTTTTTCAAATAACTTTGAACTGTGAGGAAAATTACCAAGTTGTGTTTTAGGTAATATTTCATTTTGGAACTATTAACACATTACTTGCAATATGGGAGGAAATTAGAGGGCTTTGAGTGATGAAAGCACCTTTGGCATTAAAAAACTATTATTATTCCCTTGAAACGCCGAAGCAAATTAAAACAGGAAAATGAAACTTTCAAGTGCCCTGGATTTGAAAAGGCATTTTTCCCCCTTTCATTTGTCAAAAAAAAATTTTTTTTAAATGAGTTGTTTCATTGGAAACCTAGAAGAAATCATTTATAAGGCAGAACGTACTCTTTCCAAAATGCCTTTGTCAAGGAGTGTGGGCAGTGAGGTGGCCCCATGTGGCGGTCTGCACCGGTGCCGTGTTAGGATGGGCCCCTGGTGACAGGGAAGGAGATGTGTGGGTCCTGGTGACCCCGCGCGGCTCCGTTCAGGCACTGGGATAGCAGCGGCAATTAGAAAGCACTTTGGATCTGTCCAGGACTTAACCCAATTAACCTATCTGTAACCTATTAACCTAATTAAATAGAAGAGCTTCTCGTGAGGGAGGTGCACGGGTCTCTACCCATTTGTGGGGAGATGGTGGGGAAGAAGCCATGCTTTAGGGAATATTAATAGAGTTAGATCTTTTTTTTTTTAATACCAGAATTGGAACATCGAAACACGGTTGCGAAGTGCACCTCACAGGAGGCCGTGGAATTAACCAGCAGGTTAGTTTTATATTTACTTAGGCTTTTCTGACTTGAGGGGACATTACAGTACGTTATCTCTTCCTGAGACAGCAGATCAGTAACCAGGGCTGAGAGCCTTCTGCCTGGACACTTCCTCACTCCTTACTTCAAACAGACATCAGAGTACAGGGGAAATCCTTGGTGTTGTTTTCCTTTGTTTACTTCAATCCTCTGCAATTGCTTTAACACCATGGCTAAACATTTAACAACATAGCTGAAAATTCATTAAAAGGTAGGATTTCTAAGTGGCCTTTTGCAAGCTTGTGTGACCTTAACAAACTGCTTAATCTCTCTGGGTCTTCCGTTTACTGATCTGTGTAAAAAGAGTGGGTGACTGGAGATGGTCCCGTAAAGGTTTTTATTCCAGCTCACACTCTGGGATTTTATATCCTTTCTTCTCCCTCTACACCTCCTTTTGATTCCATTTTGAATGACTTTGCCTGGAACTGTGTGGCCCAATACAGCAGCCATGTATCTATTTAATTTTAAGTTAGTTAAGACTGAATGAAATTAACAACTCAGTTCTACAAGGGTAATAGCCATGTATCAAGTGCTCAGTAGCCATGTGTGACTAATGGCTTCCCATCAGTGCAGGAAGGTCCAGGGCTGGATGAACCTGTGGCTGAGTTCAGTTCTCACACTTTCACATCACTTGGTTTTGTCGAGCCCAGTCTTGTTTATGAGTGACAGAAGAAGCCACATTCTTAAGGCAAATTCATCTTTATTTGGTTTACCTTTGGAGACGTTTTGTAGCATCTGTAAAGTATTTAGCCACTCATTTGCTGGCTGGGTGATCTTGTTGTGTTCTTCTGGGCCTCAGTTTCCTTATCTATAAAGTGGGTTAATACACAGCAGGTATTGTGTAAGGTGGTTTATGTACAGCACCCGTCATGGTACTGGGGTAATAGTAAATGCTGAGTGACTGTTGCCATTAATAACCATGAAATAATAAAGCTCCTCGTTGGACTGCTGAGGAATTTTATTTATTGAAAAAATTGGATTGAGAATGAAATTTTAGAAAAATACCACAAATTCAGGTATTTTACTGTTGATAAAAAGGTCAGGAGAAATTAAGCCAAACAATAGCAAAAACCCATTAAGTCATGAATCTACTGGGGTAGAAGGAGAATTAAACACCTGTTTAGTTTTTCCCTTCAGTGCCTCTGATGTCTCCTCCCGAGCTTCCTGTCGGGTGTGATGGGGAAAGACCCTTTACTCATGCTTCTCACTCTCACATTTGGTACTTGGTCTAACTGAGAACAGAGTGTACTTGGGTCTGGCCCCTGGTCGGAGCTGCTCTTCTGTGCCTTTCTGGAAGATCCTCCCCGCACGGGTGGAGAGGGCATCTCCTTCCTAGTTGTAACTTCATTCTACCCAGTCCCCTCTTCAGAAAGGTATCTAAGCCTGGAGATTTCACGCCTTATAAGAATGATACTGGGAGAGGCTCCATAGAAGCATTGGCGTCTCCCATTAACTGAGGGCCAAGAGCAAAGAGGGGGCTGGGTGGGTACTCTGGATTCTTGTTTGAATATGTTGACGTCCATCTGCTCTCACAACTTCTTCTCTCATCCTCTCACAAGAGGGCAAGGATGGCATCTTTGTAACTTCAATATTGTAATAAACATTTGGGCAAATGCATCGCTCAACTGCTAACTATTTTGCAAAGGAAGATGTTTATGTTTCAGACTTTTCATAGTTCACGGAAGTGGTGTGATTGTGCAAGTCGGGAATGTCTCTTGACTTGGGCATCCCATTTTATTTTCCCCACACATAGCTTTCTCCATCTTTTATAATATTTATTACAATAATCCTACCACATAGATAACCTCTGTTGACATCTTAAAAATTTATGATAGGAGCACGTGAACATATTTAGAAAATTCAAAGGAGACAGAAAGGCACAAAACAGAAAATAAAGGTCTGCTCTTGCACCCACGCCTTCACTGAATCCCTGTAACAATGACAATCACTTGTATGCCCTTTGCGATGGGTTTAATCACCCCACAGGTATTATCCAGGTAGCCTCCTAACAGTGCACAGAATGCAAAACATAAGACACATAACGTTCAGAACTGCTTTTGTTTTTCTTTTTGCCTTATTGACATGTCCAAGATCTCTTTGTATTGTATCCTACAAAACACTCAGTTTTCATTTTATTAGCTGCGGTCAACCATATGGATATTCTATTCCATGATATATTTAATCCTTCCCTAATTGATAAACATTTAGGTTGTGTCCAGGTTTCCTTCTGCTCGGACAACCCATTGTTCATGTTTTATACCTATAAATATCAATAATATATATAGTATACATATTACATAAACATATATAATTATAAAATTTTATAATATATGTAAACATACATATCAGTAATATGTTAAATATATATAAATATATATGTCTCAAGTCAGTTTGTAGCTCTGTAATATCCAGGTGAAAGACAATTTTTTTTATTTTGGTAGCTATTGCTTATGGTCACCTAAAATGTTTTAATTTATTAATACCTTTATCACCAGAGTTAAGAATGACTGCTTCCCTATGGGCTAATGAACACGAGGTATCTTCACTTTAATGTTTGCCTACCTATTAGGTGAAAGAGGTTTTTTTGTTTTGATTTACACTTCTTTAATTGTGAGATTGAGCATCTTTTTTGTGTTTTTGTTGAATATTTTCATTTGTGTTTTTCCCCCTACGCAGCTACCCCTTTTTGGGAGAGGTTCATTTTCTCCCCATTGTTTTCTTTGAACACTTTCTAAATTGACCAGAGTAGCTCTCTGTGTTTCAGTTTTAGTTTTTGTCCAATTTGTTGTTTGGTTCTAGACTTCAGTTATAGTATTTTTTCATTTTATATAGCCAATTCTCAATGATTTCCTTTACTACTTTTGGACAACTTAGACTTTTGATCTTCCTAAAACTAAAAGGAATGATTTGTAAAATCTGTTATCCCAAAGCAATTATTAATAGTGCTTTATTTCACTTCCAATAATATTTTAGTTTGTATGATAAATTGTATGGTCATCCTCAGATCTGGTCCTTCCCACCCCTATCTGAATCAGATGAGTTCCTCTTTGACCATCAAATTTAAACAATGCTTTTTGAGGCCAAATAAAATAAAATAAAAACCCACTGATATAGGTACTTCATTCACTTGTTTAGCAGAACTTAGTTAAACTTATGAACTCGAAATCTTGGCCTAGGCAATATGAGTAATTCAAGGACAAGCTTCTAATAGGAAGGGTATGAAAACCACTGCAGTAAAAAGAAAAGCATGTTTATCTGTAGATTCTCAGCTCAGTCCACTTTTGCAGGTATGTAAATACAAATTTTTCTCTAAGTGAGAAGCCCTCTTCCACTGCATTGAAGTAAAGGAGTTATTTAACAATACAGTTAAGTCATACTCTTATTGCTTTTTTCAGAGAGTAACATAAATTTCTCAATGGAGAACAGAAAAATGAAAGAGAATACTAATTGGTGTGGTTATTAAATACAGTTCAGACAAATATAAAGGATAGCTGACTGAGTGATTAATAATTTGTTGGCAGGGCTGGTGTTGTGGCACAGCTGGTTAAGCTGCTGCCTGCAATGCTGGATATGGGTGGTGGTTCGAGTCCTGGCTGCTCCACCTTTGATCCAACACACTGCTAATACTCCTGGGAAAGCAGTGGAAGATGGCCCAAGTCCTTGCATCCCTGCCACCCATGTGGGAGACCTAGATGAAGCTCCTGGCTCCTGGCTTTGGTCTGGCCCAGCCCTGGCTGCTGTAGCGATTTGGGGAGTAAATCAGTAGATAGGAGTTCTCTCTCTCTGTGTCTCTCTCCCCCTCTCTCTCTGTAACTCTGCTTTTCAAATAAACAAATAAATAAATCTATCTTACAAAAAAGAATTGGTTGGCTAATAGTAAACATTTGGTTTTTCAGTAACTGTTTTAAAAAGAAAAGCCTTCTTCAGTATTTTATATTGTATTAATATCAGTACTTTCATAGTTATCTTTAGAATTTTTTTGTCTCCTAATAACCAATGCAAACTGTGATCTTTATAGAAAAAATTAGAAGAACTACAGAAAAGTGTGAATGAGGAAAAACAAATTTCTTTTAAAAATTGGCCGGCGCCGCTGCTCACTAGGCTAATCCTCTGCCTAGCGGCGCCGGCACACCGGGTTCTAGTCCCGGTTGGGGCGCCGGATTCTGTCCCGGTTGCCCCTCTTCCACGCCAGCTCTCTGCTGTGGCCAGGGAGTGCAGTGGAGGATGGCCCAGGTGCTTGGGCCCTGCACCCCATGGGAGACCAGGAGAAGCACCTGGCTCCTGCCATCGGATCAGCGCTGTGCGCCGGCCGCAGCACTCCGGCCATGGCAGCCATTGGAGGGTGAACCAATGGCAAAGGAAGACCTTTCTCTCTGTCTCTCTCTCTCACTGTCCACTCTGCCTGTCAAAAAAAAAAAAAAAATCTATGGGCACCTGTTTGAGTGCTGGCTGCTCCACTTCTGATCCAACTCCCTGCGAATGTGCTTGGGAAAGCAGTGGAAGATGGCTCAGGTATTTGGGCCCCTGCACCCACATGAAAGACCCAGATTAAGCTCTTGGCTCCTAGTTTCAGCCTGGTCCAACCCCAGTTGTTGTGGGCATTTGAGGGGTGAACTAGCGACTGGAAGATCTGTCTTCCTCTCTGTAACTCTGCCTTTCAAATAAATAAAAATAAATCTTCAAAAAAATGTTGCAAATAATTGCTGATGGCTATAGATGCACCAGAATTAACTAAAGCACTTTTTGTTGACTATGTGGGCAGATCCTTTTTGTGTATATTTCTTCTTTTTTCCAATTATAAACAAAACAGGCATGAACATCTTTTCAGGCACATCTCCCTGTGTATTGTCAAGCAGTACATTGGCAGAGATTCTAAGAGAAATTACTTGGTGAGAGAGTATTTACTTCTCTCTAAAGCTCTTAAATCCCAAACCCTATTCCAGTTAGAGAGTGGACAA